CTAACGAATTGTCGCCCCCTTCAATAAAACCGTTACGTAGTATCGCCCCCTTCACTTCAAAATTCCGATGCCGAGGGCCAAGGCTAACGCCAAATTCGTACTGCATTGAATAAACTATTGACTAGTATAATGTTATTTGTTTAATTATTGTACGATATAATGAATAAAATATTTAATTATTCTTAATATAATGTTTTACTATATCGCCCAGAAAATTGTTTTTTGCCTCCCAAAATATAAATTGTTACAAATTGCCCCCTCAACATGGAAAAACGCCCACATGGGGGCTATATCACCCCCGTTGAGAAACACTGCTTTATGGGATACAGTTGTAACTATGAGTAGTTGTATATTGAAGGATCAAAAGTTAAGGTATATCTGTATTTGCCTATATGAACACTAGAATTGTCAAATATAGTTTCAACATTTATTATTGAATTTTTACAAAATTTTCAGGTTTGATGCATTATATCAGACCAAATGCAGATTAAAATTATTGTGAAATTGTCTTCTTATTCATCCACACTTCTGTGTAAATAAATAAATAAATTAATAGTTTTTTTTTATGCAAAGAAATATTCCTCATTCTCTTTGTTAATTTACTTGTTCTTTCTTTCAAAACTTATTAATTCTCATAAATGTGATAATTTTAAACTGTTCCATTTGTTATTTAAGTATTTTCTGGAACATCTAATTTATAAATTGTATAGTTTTTGTATTGTATACTTTGACATTTAAATTTTGAAGATTTATAATGTTACATTAAAATTTTATAATTTATAAATATTTTGAAGAATTTGTAAATTATAAGACCATAAGTGCCATAAACACACTATGTGAAACTAGCAATGACCACAAAAACTACCTGACTGAACTGTAACTTCTATTAAATATCATAGCTCACACTTGTAGTTGGACAAATAATATGGCTGCCTAATAGTCAAATTGCACCATTAGTGAACAGTGAACTGTGATTCAATTTCTGTAGTTAGAAGGTGGAAAATCTATTGGAAATGATCAGAACAATTGGGAAAATTTATGGAATAGTAGTATGGTTTGGAAAACACTGCATGGCACAGAAAAATGTTTACATATGGGTGGACAGATTTGAGAGTGGGAGTAAAAGTTTTGACAATGGAGAATGCCCTGACCAGCATCTGACATTATGAACAGACAACCATATTGAGGTAGATGTACTGATTCAAAGCAAACCTATCAGATTACTGTAAGTGAAATTGCATTTTCTCCAAATAAGTTATGGATCAACATACACCAAAGTTCCTGATGACCTTGGCCATCAGAAGGTCTACATGATATGGATACTACAAGCTTACAGAAGAACAGCTTCAGTTTGCAGAATGCAGAGCTGTATAAGAATATCTGAAATATTTTTACAAAAGTTTGAGTAATACAGAAATGGTTTGTTGCACAACACATACAAAAATATTCATGAGTGCATCTTTATGAGCCGTGCTCAAAATGATCAGATATAGAGTGAAAATATTCTGTCTCCAAAATAAAAAAAATTTAAAGCTCAGGGTGTCTGCAGGTGCTGCTCTTCTGGGATTACAATGGCTCTAAACTGGAACACTATGTTGAGACTAGGATTACAATGACTGTAGCATTGTACAATGAAATAGCAAATTGCTGACTTCAAATTTGAAATCAGCAATTTGCTTTAACTATAGAGATCTTCTCTTGAAAGATGTACTTTTACTTACTAAAGGTGTATTTATTTAGTTTGCTATATTATATTAACTTATATGCAGTAAATGAAATATGGTAAATCCTGTTTTTAATCCAAGATTTTAAATCTAATATAATAATTTATATTGATATTTTTCTTTGTTTTTTTATAATGAAACAATAATAATTTTATACTAAATCAGGCAATATATAATACCAGAATCAATAACAAATAATTTAATTATTTTTAATACAAATTCTTATAATATTAAATTACTTTAAAAGAAATCAGACACACAATGCTTAAGAATAATTTTTCTAAAATTTTATTTTGGAAAATGACTATATTTAAAAAATTGAAAATTTAATATCTTAAAGTTTATGGAAATGGATTATTTACATATTTCTTCAAATTTAGCTGTTTTGCATTAACGTCAATAGAAGATAGCATAGAAGGGATATATGAAACTTTGAAGCGCTATGCCATAATTTCCAAGAATACAGCTGGAATAGGACTTAGTGTGCATAATATTCGAGCAAAGGGAACACACATTGCTGGAGTAAGTTTATTTAATATTCTCTAAATTCTCTGACAATTTGTATATACAGTAGACCTCCCTATAACACTGTCGATAATTCCATGTTATATGAATTCCATGTTGTATGAGTCACTTAGATTTTACAAATACGTGAGCCATTTACAGCTCGGCACACGTATTTGTAAAATCTAAGTGACTTATACAACATGGAATTCATATAATACGAAATTATCAACAGTGTTATAAGGGGGATCTACTGTAAATATAATATTTTAATTAAATTGTTTTATTCCAGACTGGTGGTTCTTCAAATGGATTATTACCAATGCTGAAGCTTTTCAATGATACAACTTGTTTTATTGATGAATGTGGAAATAAGGTAAATATTTTAACTAAATATTTTTTTTGTTTTATAACAATAATAATAATTATTATTATTATTTATTTTATTAATTGTTATAATGTAAAAATTATAAGAAATTGTCTACGTTATCTTGAAATTCACATGACTTGTAACATGATCAAAAATATAGTGATGTAAGTTCTAAGAAAATTATTCATCACTGAAAGAATAGGTATTAAATATGAAATAACTTGTGCAAAAATATTCCAATGTAAGAACTTATTTGATCTTTGATATTTTTAATAAAAAATATAAATTTAAATAAAAAAATTAAACTGCACAATACATAACCAACTTTACATAAATTAATCTTTATTGATTTAAGAGAGATCCTTCCCTATTGGGTTATAAACAAAATACTTTTCTTTGATGTTTCAATGTCAAAAATAAATATTTTGATATTGAATCATTTTGTTTATAATTGTGCTATTATTTTTGAACCTTCTTGGATGTTTTGAATTTGACAATTACATCAAGCATTTTAATTGTTTAAAATAAATTCTATAGATTAAAATTTAAAAAAATGAAAAAATATTATTATTTCTAAAACTTGAAAATTTCTTAGAAAAATATAGAAAAATTGTCTTCGAGTATATAAAACTTACAGTTAAATCTTATTTTAAAAAAAATATATATATAGCAGTTTTTGTTATCAAATTTAAATATTATCTACATTTTTATGAAAATATTTTTATATTATGAATTTCCAGTAGACACTAAATCATAATACAAAAATACAGGGTATTTTTTATATTTGATAAACCTGAAGCTAAACTTTTTACCTAATTAATTGGAAATTATCTATTATAAGCTTACTCAAATTTCAAATGTCAGATTTTTATTATTTTTTTTTTATAAAATAATGAAAATAAGATTAATGAAATTTAATTATTTTTTGTCTGTCTCCATACTAATAAATAAATACTGTTTAAGTATCCCTTGCCAATTACAGAGGATTATCTTCCAAAAATGGTATGGTTAACAAGAAAATTGCAGTTACTGAAACAAAGACCCTATGGGTTATAAGAATTTAGAACATTAAAATATTACAATAGTATAAAGTTTTTTTTGTAAGGTTTTCATTAAATCAGTTCTTGGTAGAAATTGCATTATTTTGAAACTAGTGGACAAGAGAATCCTCAAGTACAGACTTTAAGGTACTTAAATTATAGTTTAATTGTTTGTATTTTTATGTTGTGCTATATTATATTTTTATGTAATAATAAAAAAGTTTTAAATTAGTATATATGTTACTGTAAAAGTCCAAAGTGTAGTAACTCTTAGAAATTATCATTAAATCCAGCCATTTACTGATATTGAGTGGTAAAAGTCTGAAATCCATGATAAAATATCTAGATTTTGAGCTTTTACCAAGAGATACTAGTAAATGTTCATGTTAACCCAATGACTTGGGTAATTTTTTATAATGACATTAATACTTTTATTATACAGTAATACTCCAAACTTACGCGATATGTGGGACCGAGCGATAACTGCGTAAGTCGGGATATAATTTTGCAATTTGTGTAAAATCCAAGTCGGATGTATGTAAGCTAATAAATGTTCTCGTTAATCTTATCTCATCTTTTGATTCGTTCATGGTTGTAAGAAATCACCACATAGTCTCTCAATTCTCCATAGATATAACAAACACAGAAATATATAACACAAAATAAATTGTAGCTATATGTCGATTCTGCACAACACGTCTGAACATGTAAGCTGAACAATAGTGAGGGGGAGTGAGTAATAAAGAGTTGCGTGGTGCTCAAACAAAAGACAAATCCACGAGATTTGAAAATTGCGTAACTCTGGGTTCATGTAAGTCGGGGTAGCATAAGTCAAGATATTACTGTACTATGAATCCTACAATGTTTTAAAATTTTTTAAAGCATTATAGGATACATGGTATGATAAAGATTCAAAGGTAATGTTCATTAATTAACATAAATACCACATTAAAAATTTTTATTGCCAATTTTATTTTAAGAAACAAATAAAAAATAATTACAATAATACTTTCATTTTCTTAATTTATATTTTTAAATAGATTACAAAATAACAGAAATATTAAGTTAATACATATGAATCCTTTTTATTAGAGTCAATTGGTTAATCTAAACATTTATAAGTATCTCTTGATAAAATCCCAAAATGTAGATATTTTATCAGAGATTTTGAACTTTTACCACTCAATATCAGTAAATGTCGGGATTTACTAGTAATTTCTGAGTTGATAGACATTGGACTTTTACATTAACATATATCTGTTTTATACAAATTGTATTATAAACAAACATTAATTTTTCTAGCATTCAACAGGATGCACCATTTATTTGGAAACATGGCATGCTGACATTTTTGAATTTTTAAGTATGAAGAAGAGTAATAAAGATACTTATCACATGAATTTTGCACTATGGATACCAAACCTTTTTATGGAAAGAGTAGAAAAAAATGATATCTGGTCTCTTATGTGTCCGCATGAATCACCTGGCTTATCTGATGTCTGGGGAGAAAAATTTGAACAACTTTATAAACAGTAGTTTTTTATTATTGTGAAATATAGACTTAATTATATTAATAATCTTGACTTATATAATTCAATTTATTTTTTACTATTAGATTTAAAGATTGGTCTACATGTAATGTTTTATCATTAGTCTTGCATTATCTTGCAAGATAGATCAGACAAATCCTTGCAAGAACCAAATGAGGTTGACACCTTATGAAAAGACTGATGAGCTGGAGCATTGTTTTCAAGAAAATAAGTATACAAATCCTTGCATGTAGATGCTCATCCATCTTATCTGTCAATTTTCTCTCAGTACTGCAGTATCTGTCAGTGGTATCAGACTTCTTTTGAAGTGCTGACAATTACTTATCTGACATCTTATTTTCATTTTTACATTTTCAGTCAGATGTAAGACATTGATCATGTGACATTTTTCTAAATTTATAAAATTACACCAGAGTTTTCTTTGCCTATGTCAAGTAAAAGCAAATGGTTCTATAATAATTTGATTTGAGTGATATAGACAATAAGAATTAAGCATATGTCATTTTAATTAATAAATGAAAGGTGGATTGTGAGGTTACTAAAGATATAATTGGCAAAAAATCAATTTCTTTCAAATAGTTTATTGTGTAAATCAACAATTCTCAATTTTGTTATGTGGTACCCTAGAATTCTGTCAATAAAATTTGGGCTTTTGAGCTTTAATTAATAGTTTAAAATATATATGAAAAATTGATTTAAATAGTTTCAAAATTATTAATATTCCATAGAAAAAAAGGTGATCAATGCATACATGGCTCATCTTTGTGGAAAGTGAAATCCATTGAATCTAATAGTGGGAGAATTAAATCACTTATTTGATTCTTTGTATTTATTTTTTTTAGAAAAACTGTTGTCCAGTGTAGCAATATTCAAATACTTGCGTATTGATTTAGTAATTCACAAAAGAATAAAATACAGTCAGTTCTATTTAATTGGGCCACTGGTTAATTGGGGCAGCTGCTTTTTGGGCAAAATCTCAAAGAACAGAAACCAAACAAATACATAATTTAAATGCTTTAATTGGGATAGTAGCAGAAAATGAATTTAGCAATTTTTGATATATATTAGGGATTTTTTGAAAATATGTCAACGCTACAAACATTAATATTTGGCAACACTAGCATGATGTGAATCAGTTATCTATCATCGTGATTTTGGCAAGTACACATCTGCTTAAGAGTTTACTAGTACTATAGTATTGTTATGTACCTAGAGATGATCATTTATAGTGTCAATTTTATTTAAAATTTTTAAATTGTTGCCAAGATGCCAAGAATAATTTTACACTTTCAAGTAAAATTGCTTTGCTGGATAAAATTAAAAGCCTGCCATTGAATACAAGCCATCGTAAACTTGCTGATATAAGTGGTGTACCAAAATCTACCACTATGCATCTCCTACAACAAGAAAATCAACTGTGTGAGGAAGTGGTAATTACAGAAATTCCAGGAACATCCAAAACAAAGTGTAATGGAAAGGATCCAGAAGTTGAAGAAGTATTAGATCAATGGTTTTCTAGTTAGCGAGTGAAGCATGAATATCAGTGGCCCAGTGTTGAAGGTGAAGTCAGAGGAGATCACTAAAAAGCTGAGCCACAATGATTTTAAAGCAACTGATGGTTGATTGTCTCAATGGAAAGTTAGACATAATATCAAATACAAAAAAGCACATGGCAAAAAGGGCAGTTTGGATAATGTAAGTGCTGAACAATGGCAAAAAACTAAAATCCCTACTTTTTTAGAGAATTTCTGTTGAGATAATATTTACAACACTGATTAAACCAGTCTCTATTATTGTGCTACGCCAGAGAGCACCCTGCTCCCTGTGTTATAAGCACATTGCACTGTCATGGTATAAAAGGGCAATGGACCACATTACTGTGTTATGCTGTACAAATATGCTGGGTACTGACAAACAAAAACTACTAATCATAGGAAAAAATGCTATTCCTCAATGCTTTAAGGGTTAAGAATAGAGAGTTTACCAGTAGAGTACCACACCAATAGTAATACATGGATGACTTCTGAAATTTTTTGGAATTGGCTTACGAGTTGTGAAGTAGAATTACAATGTAAGCAAAGGAAAATTTTGTTGCTTCTTGATAATTGTGCTGCACACCCTCATTTAGATAATCTAAAAAATAAAAGGCTGGCTTTTGAAAAAGCCAGAGAGAGCAGTGCAAAAGCAAAAATTTCCATTTAGCAAGCAATACAGTTTGTCGCTGACAGTTGGCGAGCTATAAAAAGCAGCACAATACAAAACTTCTTTGCTGTTTGCAGTTTAAAACCTTTTTGTTTTGTTTTGTGTCAGTCTTATTTCAGTCTTATTTATTAGTTTTACTTGATCATGCATGACTGATGATAAAACATTACCTGTAGATCTTTAGGTGTTAGAAAGTTATATGTAGATGTAATAAATGTCGGATTGTAGATGTGATGGATGTGTAAATGCAGATGTGATATACAGATTTTTATTGATTTTGAAATAATATATCAACTACTATATATTATAACATTTTATATTATGCATGAACATAATATAAAATGTAATAAAAATATAAATGGACTGAGCTGTAATAAATTGAGTCCATGTATTAATTCCTTTTACCTCTGTCTTTATTCTTTTGGATTTCTGCATGTATGCTGTCTACTAGGACCTTGATTATTATTAGGACTTATACTGATGTGGTTTCTGATTAGCAAATAGAGAAGATCTTAGTCAAAAGTCAAAACAAAATATTTTTATTTTCACCTGAAAGATATTTTGATTTGACTTTTGACTAAGATCTCCTCTATTTGCTAATCAGAAACTACACCAGTATAATAAGTCCTATTAATAAACAAGGTGCTAATAAACAAGTAGTCAGCATATACATAGAAATCTGAGTCCATGTATATTTTTATTAATATGTTAGTTGAATATTTTTTTTTAAATACAAAAGTATAACAAAAANTATCTTCTGGTGAAATATACAATATTTATGATTATTTATTAAAAATTAATTTTGTCTTTTTAATATAAAATAAAACTGTATATTAATATATTTCAATTTTATATTTTAGGTAGCAGTATGTAGCTTGGCCTCTATTGCTCTAGATAGATTTGTTAAAGAAGGATATTATGATTTTCAAAAACTGAAAGAAATAACTAAGATAATCACTGTTACATTAAATAAAATAATAGATGTCTCTCAATATCCCCTGCATGAGGTATATTTTTATTAAATTATATAATTTTCTTACTAAAGTTTTGATGATATAAATTAATTAAATTCTTTTTTCTTTATTTAAAGACAGAAGTATTTTCTCGAAGATATCGTCCAATAGGAATTAGTGTACAAGGATTAGCTGATGCATTTATTCTAATGAGATATCCTTTTGATAGTGAAGAAGCACAGAAGTTGAATGTACAAATTTTTGAAACTATTTATTATGGTGCATTAGAAGCAAGTTGTGAATTAGCACACCAATTTGGATCTTATGAAACTTACAATGAATCTCCAGTATCTAAAGGAGTAAGCAATGAAAATCTGACATTTATCATAAATACCTAAGAAAAATTTTTTATCTAGATTATAATAGACTACAAGAATTGGAAAGCATCATAATAAACAACTTCTTGTAGAGGGAGATTTTTAAATGAGAGTTTTTAAAATTTATCTAGCATTACTTTCAGCATATAATATACAGTAATACTTCGGTTTTCATCAATTTTTTCTGTGAAAAATTTGTCTTTGTTTTTGACGGTTGCCTTGGATTTCATCAGCAAGCCCATATGACCTCACTGCTAATTTTGCAAAAACAAAGGCGGCCCATGCATTTTCCTCCTCAGTGTGGTATTGTTTTCTTGTTGTGTGAGCATTACCCTGTGTGTCTAGCCAAACAATTCTATTGCTCTCCTTTCTTTTTAGCTCCATCATGGGACCAAAAAAGTTACCAGATCCAGCAGCCATTTGAAAGCCATGTTAAATGTTCATTTATTCTTTACATTAGTCTTTTATATTCATTTTATATTAATTTCTTATTGTTTTTAACACTATATTTATTCTCTATAAAATATGTTTTTGGTCTGTATTTTGGAGTGTCTAGAATGGATTAATTGGATTTTCATTGATTCATATGGAAATAATTGCCTCGGTTTTTGTCAGTTTTGGATTTCACTTATTGTTTTCAGATGGATTATCAATGAAAATCAAGGTATCACTGTATTTGAGTATTTTGGTAAATTAAATTACAAATTTCAAATAAAGGCACAAACTCTATGGCTGAAAATTATTCAATGTCAGATTGATACTGGTTTTCCATACATGCTCTATAAAGATACTTGCAATTTGAAATCTAATCATCAGTATTTAGGAACAATTAAATGTAGCAGTTTAGATGCTGATATGATGACCTACAGTTCTTCAAATGAGGTATATATAAATGTATATACGCAAACCTTGTTATTATTTTCATAATAATAAATACTGTTGTCTGTTGGAAAGATATTGTCTGATTTTATATTGCTTTAATAACAGTCATTTCTTTATTTTGGATTGTTGCTGTGTTCCTTTGGCATTACATTACTGTACTATAAAATTGCACTATACTATAAAAATCTGTACTATAAAAATCCTGAAACTATAAAATTGTTATATTATAATACAAAAATACCACTAATACATTTTACTACATGTATAAAAAAACATAAAAATAAAATAATCCATCATGTGTTCATGCTTTTAAAAAGAAAACTTTACAGAATTGATCATAAGTAAAGAAATCAAAATGCTACAGATTACTGTACTTTTTTTATGTATTATGTAGGTAATTTTCAATTGAATTTTTAATTTTTTTTTCTTATTTGATATATGTAAATTTTGTTTACAAATTTCATGTAATTTTATCTGATTAATGTTTGTTTAAAAATGTATAATTTGTCTACATAAAATTGCTTGATTACCATTTACATGTTTGCAGAACATAGTCTTCCAAATTTTGATGTATTTTTTGAAATAACTGATTTTAATCTGTGTAAATCTTTTTGTGTGCACACTTTGAAGACTCTTTGCATAAATCATGATTGCAGTGTATATAATTTGATTGTTTTAATTGTTTGAATTGTTTAATTTTTCATTTAATTTTTATTATATGTAATCAAGTAGAATTAACATAAACAAATAAATTGTCTTTTATATTTATCTTCTGGTGAAATATACAATATTTATGATTATTTATTAAAAATTAATTTTGTCTTTTTAATATAAAATAAAACTGTATATTAATATATTTCAATTTTATATTTTAGGTAGCAGTATGTAGCTTGGCCTCTATTGCTCTAGATAGATTTGTTAAAGAAGGATATTATGATTTTCAAAAACTGAAAGAAATAACTAAGATAATCACTGTTACATTAAATAAAATAATAGATGTCTCTCAATATCCCCTGCATGAGGTATATTTTTATTAAATTATATAATTTTCTTACTAAAGTTTTGATGATATAAATTAATTAAATTCTTTTTTCTTTATTTAAAGACAGAAGTATTTTCTCGAAGATATCGTCCAATAGGAATTAGTGTACAAGGATTAGCTGATGCATTTATTCTAATGAGATATCCTTTTGATAGTGAAGAAGCACAGAAGTTGAATGTACAAATTTTTGAAACTATTTATTATGGTGCATTAGAAGCAAGTTGTGAATTAGCACACCAATTTGGATCTTATGAAACTTACAATGAATCTCCAGTATCTAAAGGAGTAAGCAATGAAAATCTGACATTTATCATAAATACCTAAGAAAAATTTTTTATCTAGATTATAATAGACTACAAGAATTGGAAAGCATCATAATAAACAACTTCTTGTAGAGGGAGATTTTTAAATGAGAGTTTTTAAAATTTATCTAGCATTACTTTCAGCATATAATATACAGTAATACTTCGGTTTTCATCAATTTTTTCTGTGAAAAATTTGTCTTTGTTTTTGACGGTTGCCTTGGATTTCATCAGCAAGCCCATATGACCTCACTGCTAATTTTGCAAAAACAAAGGCGGCCCATGCATTTTCCTCCTCAGTGTGGTATTGTTTTCTTGTTGTGTGAGCATTACCCTGTGTGTCTAGCCAAACAATTCTATTGCTCTCCTTTCTTTTTAGCTCCATCATGGGACCAAAAAAGTTACCAGATCCAGCAGCCATTTGAAAGCCATGTTAAATGTTCATTTATTCTTTACATTAGTCTTTTATATTCATTTTATATTAATTTCTTATTGTTTTTAACACTATATTTATTCTCTATAAAATATGTTTTTGGTCTGTATTTTGGAGTGTCTAGAATGGATTAATTGGATTTTCATTGATTCATATGGAAATAATTGCCTCGGTTTTTGTCAGTTTTGGATTTCACTTATTGTTTTCAGATGGATTATCAATGAAAATCAAGGTATCACTGTATATATTTATTACATTTATAAGATATTTATTACAGATGATAAATGATTTCTGAAAAAAATTTCATCTGTAGAAATTAACAATTACTTAACTGAGATTTCTTATTGATAAATTTCTATCATATGTAGTTTTCAATGTGGATAAAATTTTATCACTTAGTAATTGTGAGACTTAAAACATCTAATCAAAGATTACATGGTTCACTAAATTTGTTGTTATATTTCTGGATTTAATTGACTTTGCTGAAAATGAAGGCAGTGTCTACTCCTATCCTCATTCACAAGAGCCATGAAATGTAAAAATTTTTACCTTGCACCATGTGTATGGTGCAGGGTATGAAATGTGTGTACATTAGGTCAGAAATTGAAGTAAATTTGCATTATGCTTGGAAAACTCAATAAAAAATACTTTTACCATTACTTTGGGGCATGCATTGTCTAGTTTGCATACTCTGATGACATATTAATACTTTTAAAAATTAATTTTTAGCATTAATTTGTATTACAATCAATTATGAAGTTCTATGGCTGCTAATTTTTTATTTTCGGGATGTATTTCATAAAATATAAATTCATTTAGTAATCTAGAAATAAATAAAAGCTACATTTATTTACTTGATACATTTTTGTATAGATTTTACAGTTTGATATGTGGAATGTGATGCCATCAAATCTGTGGGACTGGTCTCTCTTAAAAGGAAAGATTTCAAGGTAAATTATAATAATTTGACATTTAAAATAGTATATGGCAAAATTTAGTTTACAACTCTTAAGAGTAATGTTGAAATAATAGCACTGTTGCAGTTTCCAAGATTGGNATTTAATAATTATGAAACATTTACTTAAAATTATTTAATACATCATATACTTCCAGACATTTTATACTTATATATTGTTTTTGGAAGTTATAAAACATCTTTTAGTAACCAATTAAGTTTAAAAATTAATTAAATGATGATATTTAATTAAAGATTTTTGAAATGTGCTTAAATATTGCTAAATTATAATTATTAACTTTAGCATGAGATGGTGCCTAACGCCTAACTCTAATACCAAATTATCTTAAATTATTATTATTATTATTATTATTATAGCTGCTTCTAGCCCATTAATTCGGCTTTGGTTGCTTTAATGTTTATCGGGTTAGCTGATGTTTGTTTAAATATTGCTATATCGAACCAGTTAAATGTATGATAATTTTATTTTTATCATTACTTTTATGATTGAATGCATTTCAATAACTAAATTCTTAGAATCTGCTAATTTATTTCAAGTTTAAGTATTTTTGAAATTTTCATCCTTTGAACAAAGTTATATTTATAATAATTACTAAATTGTTATGGAGATTGCTTTTATTATTGAAGGTAATTTATTTGCAATTATTCAGATTTCTAAAGATTTAGAGTGACTTCTTTTCATCAACATTTTAAATTTGAATTTGCACTTATATTATTTCTTGCTCATAAATTGTTTTTATTATTATTTAAGTTTTCTAATGAAATTATTGATTATATTATATTTTAGTTCAAAATGTCTAAAATAGCATGTAGACAATGTAGAAATTTTCAATAAAAAACAAAGTGGAGATGAAGTAGAAGCTTAAAGAGCAGAAAAGCAATATTAAATGACAAGATAAACAAATGAAACTTTGACAATGTCAATATAAATTTATATTACTCTTACTAGAATTTACTTTAATCTAATATAAATTTAAATGAAACACCATTAGAATAATTCATAAATTTAATTTCACAAAAAAATCATAAATTGAAAAAATGAAATGAAAGAATAGCATACCATTAGATAATAGAAGAGAAATATTAACTTTAAAAAATAAAAATAAATTAGATATTTAGAATCTTTAATTTATAATTGATATCACTCTAAATCTAAATTATAATTTAGTAAATAAGTTTATTAAAAAGATTTCATATAAAATCAATTTAATAAATAAAGAATTATATGACTGACAATTTAGTTTAAAATTTAGAAAGTTAGAGAGAGAACTAAATAGTACTCAAAAATTTTATAAATTTGAATAACTCAAATTAAATTGCCAGAAGTAAATGAAATTTAACAAGTAATGAGTAAGTCAGAGTTCATACAGATCTGGAAATCAAGGGAAAAATTGGAATTTTAAGAGTGGTCAGGAAATATTTTCATTTCACAGCAAAAAATACAATTTAAATAAATATTCACTAATTTAATTTGCTAGTGTTTAAAATTTGTATGAGTTGTACTACATCAAATCAACAAGTCAAAACCAAAAAAACGTACTCTGACAATATGATAACACTAATGATTGACTTGTTTGGCATGTTTAATATTTATTTGCACAAACAAAAATTTCTAGTGGCTATATATCAATAATAAGGTTCCAAATGATAACAATAAAATAATACAGTAGACCCCCTTATAAAACAGGTTCATATAATACGGATTCATATATAATGGCAAAAAAATTGTGATTGTATTCGTATAAACACGCTAAAAGAAACTCGTATAATACGGTAAAACATCATCGCCGACTCATGTCATGACAGGATTGGTTGAATCTAGACCAATAGCGGATATTGCACAAACCGTTGAGTTTAAACGAGCAGCGGACCTACTAAAAACCATTTATTATTTAACGGCCATAAAAATTATATTTATATTAATGATGTCTCCAAAGTTTAGCAAATTTTTTGCAGAAAAATAACTTATCACGAAACACGCATGCGTCGTTCAATGCGCCACTCCACAACGAAAACAAGCTTAAGCAATGGTGTTGTCAAACAGTGCACACTTGGTAAGTAATCCTACAATTTTTTGTTTATAGCATAGTTTATATGGATTATTCCAAAAAAATTATACGTGTTTTGGAAATGTTGAGTCAAATTAGTCAAAAATCGATTAATTTTATGGAAGAAAACCTTTCAAACAGCCGTAGTCCCTAAACTGCATATATGCTGGGCTGTGATTGGCTCATGTATTTAAGTGATCGTAAAACATGAATTTATAAATAATGGAACGTATCTACTGTATTATAGGGGGGGTCTACTGTATTTACATTTGTATGTAGTGTGGCAGAAAAGTAATGAGACAAATTTCTTTTTTGCAACAATTTTATTTTATTTTTATACATTAATGTTATCCCCTTCAAAGTAGTTCTCTTGGGCAGCTATACATCGGCAGAGGCATTGCTGCCAGTCTTTGTATCAGTGTTGCAAGATTTCAACTGGAATCTCCTAGCAGCAATGCAGTTACGCTTCTTTGGATTTTATTGACAGTACCAAGATGATGTTCTTTCAAACGGGTTTTGATCTTGGAGAACAAAAAAAGTCACACAGACTGAGATCAGGTGAATAGGGGGCTTGGGCAAGCCTCAGAGTCACTCACTTTTCTCACTTGTACTCACTTTTTTGAAATATCCTCACTTTTCTCACTTTTTTGGTCATTTCCACATGCTCAATTAAGATGTGGGACTAATCAAAAATAATTTTAGAGCCAAACTATCAGACTAGAATTTTCTGGAAGAAAATACTCTGCCCTGAGCAGGACTCAAAACTGCAACTTCCACTTAGTGTTGTTAGGTTATAGGAAACAAAAATTCCTTTCATGTAAAAAGTCTTTCATGCACTTAAAAAATCCCTCATTACAAATTCAGAAGCCAGTATAGAGTAAAGTTTCACACGCTTCCCTAAAGGTTAACAACATTGTAACGATGTTGTTTTTTATTCATCTGCAGGAAAAACTTCTTTGTTATTTATGAAATCATTAATAAAACATTATTTTACTTATACTATTTGAAATCTGTTTATTTCAGATTTATTAATTTATTTTGAAATTGATATTTACATATCTTGAAGCATTAAAAAAAAACAGTTTCTGATCATGTTAGATGTCCCAGTGTAGCCAAATTAGTTAAATCAGCATTGACCCTCTCTCATAGCAATGCTGATATGGAATGGGGATTTTCAATTTCATGCCACACACTTCCTTCTGATAGAGCATCAATGTTGGAAAGAGTGCTTAAACCAGAAAAAAGTGAAGAAGGACATTAACAGCAAGAACATGAATGAAGTACAGGCAGATGTAATGCTTGTTAGTGTTAAAAGTGTTCAAAAGCAAAAGGAACTAAAAAAGGAAGCTGAAAACATCCAGAATAATCAGAATGAAAGAACATCATTTTTTCATTACTGATTATTTACAGATGCCAAAGGCTTTTTAAGTATTCATGGTTTACTGGAAATACAGTAGCTTCTTGTTATATCGCGCTTGTCAGAGAGAAAGAAAAAGCACGATATAACAAGAAACAAGTACTAAAAATTCTGGGCTTACACTAAACAGATTATACATGCTATGCAATCTCTATCCTGTATTCTTTCATCAGCAAGTGTTTTTCGTATAAAATAAGCTTAGTTTTTCAATACTGAACTTTTTCAATATTCTTGGTTATATCGTATTAATTGACGTTTGTATAAACATCAATACCACCACTCGTTTAGCATTGTTTCTTTAACAATGATATTTAAAGACAAATATTGTCAATATAAAAACAAAATATCAGTTACAATTTTATTATACTGTACTATATTTCACAATAAATCGCTTATTAAAAATTTGTGTAATTTATGTTTTTCGGTAAAAATTATAAATGCTGTAATTGAAAATTTTAAAAAATAAACATGGAACATATAATAGAACCATCAAAACTTATAAAATTACAGAGAGTAAAAATTCTCTAGAAAGCAAAATAAAGTTACTACTGTATAAAAACTTTCCGTTCAGAATTAAAGAAATCTTTTCCTTATACATTATGTTGTGAAATTTCAAATTCACAGAAACTTGTAAATGAGGAGACTATTCTTAAAACTAATAAATAAGCAATTTTTAATATCAAAAGGAAACAAATGACAATTGATATGTCCACCTGTTTTGTATATTTAGACCTTGACGAATTTATTGTTTCATTTTCAGTGGTAGTTTCAAGGACAATGGTAGAAATATGAATACTGTATTTTGTTGCAAATAGAAATTCAATGGCAATTGGTAATTTAAAATATATTGATGCGAGTGCTCTTAAATTTGGAGGACCAAAAAAGCGTGATATAATGAGCGGCTTCTGTATTACAGTATATACAGAAATTTTTAAAATTTATTTAACCATAACAGAATAAAAAGAAAAAAAAACAACTTTTACTGCTATTTTGCTGAGTTTTCCTTCCGTGTTTTCACTTTGTTTTTGTCACTATTACACTCACTTTTTACTCACTGTTTCTGTATTTCAACTCTCTTTTCTCACCTTTTTGAAGGGAATATGGCACTCCGAGGCCTGCCTGGGAAACCATAAGAATTTCTTTTCTGTCAAATCTGGTTGATGGACAGGAAGTGGAGTCATTGTGGAGCATCCAAGTGTCCACAATGTCCCATCTGACTAGAAGCACTCAATGTTAGTTGACGATCTGATCTCACAAGAGCCCTCACTTGTTCCACATTTTCTGCAGTTCTCGACATTGAATGCCTTTCTGAGCGAGGTTCATCTTCTACTACTTCTAGGCCCTCCAAAAAATGCTTTGTGCCACTGAAAATCATGTGCTGACGATAAGGAATGTTTTCCATAGGCTCGTTGCAACTTTTTGAAGGTCAAACTCATGGATTCACCAAACTGACACGGCTTAACTGCCACACCTCATAATGTGTAAATCTTATTTTATTGTTATCTTTTTGGAGAACCTATAAAAACTTAAAAGAAAAATTGAAATCGGTCTTGAATTTAAAAATTTCTATAAAATTGATTGAAATCAATTTTATAGAAATAGATAGATTTTTTCCTGCAGTTACATTATGATTTTTGAATGAGTCTCTTTAAAATAACTCCTTACTAATCATTTTACAATGAATCAGAAGCCAAGATACAACTGATTTTGTCTTCTGATGTGTTAGATATAGTGAAAACTTTAGCAGACCATAAAGTCCAAACTTTTTTTTAATCTTTTGGTACGCTTTGTTTTTATGCCAAAGTACACCCTCTTGTCAAATATGATCAGAATTAAAAAAATACATGTGGTATTTGGCTTTATTAAATTTGTTCTTGTCAGGAAACTTAAGATTTTTAACTGGAAAAGCTGAAAATGTCAGGGAATTTAAGTGATGAAGAGTAGGAACCCTGGTAAATGCCATGGGATAGTTGTTCATGTTATACTCTTCTCTACCTGCACTTAAAAATCAACAAACAACAAAAACCCTTTAACATGAAGTCTTTTTATTTAAACTTATAATGCTTCAGTCAGTTGACTGAAAATGTTAGAAGTTTAAATAAAAAAGACTGAATCTTAAAGGGTTTTTATTGTTTGTTCATGTTATAATTGCATATCTAGTGGGTTGTTTATATTTGTAGAATTAGAATAGAAAATTCTTGAAAATATTTAAAATTTCCAGAAATTTTTGTAGTCATTATTATTAAAATTTAAATATAAAATAAATTAGTGAACTTCAGAAATATATGTTGTTAAAGTGATACATTTAATTTCTAGTGAAGATGAAAGTTAAGAATCATGTATTATTGACATAATAACGTAGAATAAACATCACATATTATATTAATTAGAAACAACAATGATATATATTATCATTACTTCTGAATTAATAATATTTCTATAAGAATTATTATTCTGAAGAATTACATAATTTGAGGTTTCTTGTAAATGTAGGTTATCAATTGTTTTATTTTTGTTATTCACCAATCTAATCTGACATTGGATTATGAAATCTTTGAATTGAAATGTGAAGAATATTAGAAGCTTCCTAATTTGTCCGAATATGCCGTTATGTACCCATGTAAATTTTTATGCTTTAAGTAAACATTAGTTCTTGTTGTTGTTATTTTTATTGTGCAGTGGTTGAGATAATAGCTAGTATGTCTTACTCTTTAACTATGACTTTTCCCTGGCATGCAACCCAGGATTCACCTTAAAAATTAAATATCCAATATCTTTGCTGAATTGTATATTTTAACGTAATAGAATACAATTTTATTGAGTAGAGCTATACTAAATAAAATTGTAATAATAAGTAATAAGAAAATGAAACAAATATCCTATTTCTAAGACAATTGCCTCTGTGATATACAGGTATATCTCGAGTTACGTCTTTCTTGATTATACGTCTTTTGTCAAAAAAATATATGGAAAAATAAAAATCAAGTTTAAGTCATTTTATTTGACTCTACATCTGTCCACCACAAATATTGAAATTGTAATATCACTAGAAAGTGTTAAAAGCACATAAAATCATATTAAAATACATACATTTACAGTAATTGTTAATATAATCATCATAAATCCTATAGAACAAAATATGAAAACATTTGTGACTCTGTGTTGTCATTTTATTTAGCAGTCTTTAAGAGTTCAATATTGGCATTTTCCATGGTAGTTCCAATATCTATAGTTTGGCGTCGTTGTCAGTGCCACTCGTTATTGGTAAATTTAACATAAATTAGTTTATTTTATACTGTTGCAAGATAATTTTAATAACTGTATTTGTTATTTAACCTTACAAAATCATCTTATTTTATAATGTCTTAGAGCAAACTACATTCACAAATAAAGAGTCTGCGATGTACTGTAAACATCGCCAAATTGTAAACATGTATATTTACAAGTACTGTATGTACATACTGTACATGTATTTGTAAATTTAGNATATGCATTCATAAATTTAGATTACTTTTTTTCCTGTACTATATTAAAATTTATTTGTTTGTAAGCTTAAAATAGATTCTTATTAATTATATATTATTAAAAATGCATTTATAAATAAAATACAGAACTGGGAATGGTATTTGTGGTTTAGCCTAGTGACAAGTAAATTCGACTTACGTCGTTTTTCGACGTAAGTTGCCTCTCCTGGAACCAATTACCGACATAAGGCAAGGTATACCTGTATTAACTCACAAGTAGGATTGTCAAGTTAGCAGAAAATCTGCTAAATCTAACTTTCCTGTACGATTGTGTAGCCTGTAGATTTGGTCTACAGGCTACACAATCGTATGTGTACACAAATGCTTCCAAAAATTTCAGTTGGCATATGAGAAAACTTTTCATTACATTTAGTAAATTTTGGCATGCATGCTGAAAAAGGTATAAACAAAATGTACAACAAAAGCAACACTCATACCTTTCATACAAAAGGTATGAGTGATTGCTTTTGTTGTCTATGTTGTTTTTTAATCTAATTAGCACATACTCTAATCTGTAAAAGAAAAATTAAATTACTAAGTTAAATTACAATTCAGATATGAGTTGACTCTACAACTGATCCATAGTGATTACTGATTTTAATTGAATTTGCAATTTAAATTATATATTGGGTTTAATACAACATGGTTAATATGGTTATATTATTTGGTACTTATGATGGTAAATTAGGCTTATGTGATATTAAGAAATCATAAATAATTTTAAAATATCAAATTTCTATGTTATAAAATTTAATGTAGTATTAGTTATATTTTAAGTTTTGTCTTCACCATTTATCAAAGCATTTAATTTTTTAAATAATTGAGATCAGTAATAATTTTTTCTTATATTATTATATATGTAATTTTTACATATGTATGCATATTTTCTTTTTGTCTTGTATATATTTTATGTTTATATTCTATGCATTGTAAATAAATTTAATTTAAAAGTTTTTATTTTATTATATATATAATACAATCAATTTCATTAGGTATGGATTAAGAAATAGTCTTCTTATTACCCTTGCTCCAACTCATCATGCTGATGAAATTCTAGGAAATATTGAATCTGTTTGTTGTATTACAAATAATATCAGTACTAAACATGCTCAAATTGGAAGTTTTCAGGTAAAAGAATGCTGTACAAAAGTTTAAATATTTTAATATTTAATTTACATTTTATTTATGTGATATGTATTGTTTATGGTGCAGTAAAATCTGTTTATTTTAATTAAATATTGTTATCAGTCATTTAATGTTCTCAAAATTAGCATGTCTCAAAAACACGAGTTGAAATACACGTATAAAATTTCATAGGTGGACATAGGCTGCATATTATTCCGTTAAACATTGATATAAATTAAAAGATATCATCTAGGGTTAAGGCTTTTATGTCCAACAGATGATGGAGTACAACGCCCCAAGTTTGCTTTTCTGTGAGGCATTATGCTTTTCTGTGAGGATGAACTAAAGCAGATCATCTTCTATCTATTTATATAAATAAAAATGTAATGTTCGTTTGTTCCTACCGATTCCTTTGAAATTTTCACACAACGCTGCATTCAAATATGCACGTGTTTTTATATAATACACATGTCGAAATTCCCCCACTGGGGGAGAGGGACAGGATTAAGGCTTACCGTAAAGAACTCTGCTTCTATTTATACTATTTTAGATGCGGTTTTTTGCATTTTAATAGGGTACGTCAACAGAATATAAACTAAAAAGGAATTTTTCGATCTTCTCCCTGCAGGAGAGAGGAACAGGATTAAGGCTTACCGTGAAGAACTTGGCTTCTATTATACTATTTTAGATGTGGTTTTTTGCGTTTTTGATTGCGTTTCAATAGGGTACGTCAAGAGAATGTACACTAAGAAGGGATTTTTCGAAAAATTCCCCTCTATGGGGGAAGTGCTATACATTTATAATAGATACATTTTGAGCCACAACAACACGTGGCAGGGTCTGCTAGTTTTTTATAAAACTCACCCCTACTCTCAAAATTAAGTTTTTTTTGCCATTTTATAATAATTAAAATATAAAAAGTTTTAAAAATAAAATATGATAACAGATGGCGTCATCAAATGTTGCCGGGAAAGTTAAGCAACTCATTGCTGGATTTTTGATCATGANTCAAAATTAAGTTTTTTTTGCCATTTTATAATAATTAAAATATAAAAAGTTTTAATAATAAAATATTATAACAGATGGCACCACACATGCAATTTTAAATGTTGCCGGGGAAAGATAAGCAACTTCTTGCTTGATTTTCTACCTTAGTTATGTGCATTTAGCACATAACTAAGCACATAGTAATTAATAATAATTACAATTAATAAATCTTAAAGTTATATATATATTAAATTGTTTTAACACATCTTTTTAATGTCAGAATTCAATTAGTGAAATTTGATTATATTGAATAAGCAGAATTTCACTAATTGTAGCTTTACTTACTTATCCTATTTAATAATATCAATGAGTTATTGTTATTGTTATTGTTATCAATAAAGCAAGTACCAAACTTCTTAAAGGTGGATTATATCATGTAAGAATATTGGCAACAGTTTTGATTTTAATTTAGAAGTTATATGCATAAATAATGTTTATTAACAGCTATATTGTGAAAATCTTTCAGTTTTTAAATTTCTAAATAAAACAATGTAATTTTGAAATAAAACAGTACTTAAAAACTTTTTATTTATTAATAACAAGTGATTGTATTTAGCACATTAACCAATGCCATAATTATTGAATTTTATGAGATATATTGTGGCATTTGACTATTAATATTATATTTTAAAAATATTTTTCAACTTAAAAACATTATAGTGTAACAATATATTTATGAAAATGGAAAACTTTTTGTTTAAACTGAAATAAGATATCTTTATGTGTAATTTATTTATTTATTTATGATATTTCACAAAAATAATAATTATAAAAGTGAAATTTGTTTATTATTATAGGTGATTAATAATCTTTTATTGAAAGATTTAACAGATAAAGGATTATGGAATGAAGATGTTAAAAATCAACTAATTGAAAATAATGGCTCAATACAAGTAATGAATTTAAATTATTTCATAAGATAATATAACTAGATAAGTGTGTTTATAATGAATGTTCTTTGTTCCAGAATATTGATTGCATTCCAGATGATTTGAAACTTTTATATAGAACTGTTTGGGAAATACCCCAAAAAGTAATTATCAAAATGGCTGCAGATAGAGGTGCTTTTATTGATCAAAGCCAGTCGATCAGTATATATTTTAAAGATCCTAATTATGGAAAGATGACCAGTATGCATTTTTATAGTTGGAGAGCTGTAAGTAATAACTGATATACAAGATTATATACAAGTTATAAGTTTTAAGTGAATATGTTCACAAACATTAATAAGAAATAATGTAAAATACATGTATAAATACACATTCATGTACAAAACAGTATAATCATTCAATCCATAGATACAGCAAAAGACAAATAAAATAAATAGCAGAAAACTTATATGAACATTTTCAGACAATAATAATATTTTATTAAAAAGCACAAATTTATGCAAAATATGCAGACTCCAAAAATATATCAGTAGCATGGTATTGTTTTTGTTGGAGTTTCTGGTATGTATTATGGATGAGATGGAATGAGTACACAAGAATAAAACACATTGGGATGGATATGAAAACTACACATTATACTAGTATGAAAATGTTTCTTTAATATTAAGAATCATGGGCAAGTTATAACAAGAGAAATTACAACAAATATATGAATTGCAGCACCAGGGAGCAGCATAATTGGCCCCTAACACTTTACCACTTTTTCAAGGAGGGTTATAAAGGTAATCTTAGATAACAAGGAGGTGTTTGAAGATGTGTAAAATGTAATGAAAGAGAAACTAGTTTGCTATGAGAATGTGTAGGGAATAAAGGATGATTTTCAGATGAGGGAATGTTCTAATGGGATGCAGATAATGAAGAATTCTCATTTCTCAGAGGTTCTTTATCATTCTATCAAAAGTGCAGGGAAGTATCAGGAAATACAAAATTATTTGGGACACTTTTCCAGCTGGTCAACATGTCATTTTCATTGAATATCATTAGCAAGTTCTGTTAAATAAGTAACAGGAAAGAACTTTTACAACTTTGCCTGCAATCCAATATGAATAATTGTAATAGTCTGTTGTAAAAACACTTTTGAAAAGAAATGACTAAGTTTTTTTCAGAACCATACATTATGTACTGTATAGAAGAGTCTAGTCTTTCACATGATTTCCTTCCAAACATAAGCTCACTTAAGCTTTTTATTGGTTGAGTAGTGAGTAAGTAGTTCTATAAGTAGATAGAAAGGGGATTAATGCTTTGTTAAATTACATTCTTGCAGCATTTTCTTTATATATTTTTTTATAGATGATTTAAATGTGCTGATGAAGCCTTCTATCATACCATTGGTGACAGAATGGTAGGGAGATGAAAAGGTTTGGCAAATACCATTTCTAGCCAAAAAAAGATCTGAATTTTTTCAATGTGAATTTGGGACCATTTTTCAAATTGTTTCTATAATAATTAATATTAGTCTATATCATTGCTTGCTTTGCCAAGCATCTTTATTTCAAAAATTGTTGTCTAATAGCCATAAGTAAGTTTCAGGATTATTTATCCCTCTCTTTAATATGATGTATTTTTCTACATTCTATATTGCAAGAGATTTTGAGAAAACAGTACCTTGATGTCTGAATGTAGTTCTAAAATTACATTTCTTTAGAATTTCTTTTACACAAAAATTCTGTTACTGAAAAATGTAAGATTTCCAAAATTTGAAACAGCATTTTTATATTTAGTATAAAGTTTTAATGTATTCATCAGTAACAGCATCCCAATTACATCTAATTGCCTTATGAGTGATAAAAGTGTTATCTGAGCAACATGCTTTGACAAAGGCTCCATTAGTAAAAGGAAGTGAAGTAAGTTGTAAACTAAACAAGGAAGTAGCCACTTTATTAGTAGAATTGTCAGAAAATATTTTATTTGTCATATTCCTAGACAGGAAGTCCACAATGAAATTATGAGGAATTGCAATTGATGTGAAGTTATAATCATTTAGGATGATACTCCAATTTCTGACATCATTTTGACTATAAGAGTCAGCGTAGAATGACAACCTAAGAGGTATCAACAAAACTTTTTTATGAAAAAAAAATGATTGAAAGTGCTTCTCAGTCTGAGAGAATTTAGATTGAGTAGGTATTAATGTGGCATTTACAAGTAGAATTGGAAAATTGATATTGCCAATAATGTGAAAAAGGGCAGTTCCAATACCAAACTGCAAAATACCTATAGACTAAAATCTTTATATGGATTGTAATGAACAAGTAGCTTACATCTTTTAGTATTTCTTTAGCTGCTTGGAATGCAAGGTTATGAACCTTAGTCCAGCTCTAACCTGTGCTTTTATGAAATATCTTGTAAATATGTTGGAGGCATTCAGGAAAGCCTGATACAAATTTGGAATAATAATTTAACATTCCCAAGAATGAACAAAGTAAATGGATGTCATAGGGCTTATCTGCTTTAAAATAGGGTCAGCTTGGAATGGATGGATGCAATTTCTTTAGATAATTCAAAATACAATTTAATGAATTTCTGGAGAAATTTGTATTTACTCCTTTTCAATTTTAATATCTTCTCTTGCATAAATTGAAAGAACTTGTTTAATATTTTCTAGGTGATCTGAACAGCTGATATCCAAGAGACAACAGTGTCAAAGTAGGGCATGACTTTATCTTATATGAACACACAATTCTTTTTAAGCCTTAATAAGTTTTCTGTGGATTTTTTGAATTGGCAAAAATTTTTTAGTAATTTATACGGTGTGGACAAATTTGCTTAACAGAATAGCAATTTTTTTTTTCTATTGTCTGCAATATCTGAAACAAAGAATAATTCTTCTAATTGTTCTATGTATTCTACAATTAACATTTGAATCTTATGAATCGACATTAATTATATTCAGCACAAAACACATCCAAGAACCATAAAAAACTCCAATAATTTTCTTAGCAGTCATTGTAACTTAAAAATGGAAGGAATGTGACTTACAAATGGTGACAAAAACAATGTATGAGCTTGAACTGAGACTTATAATTCGTTTTGATTATGAGCACAAATAATTGAAAATCCAGAAATTTTCACCAAATTATTGGTATGTATTTAGAATGAGATGGAATGATTACACAAGAATAAAACAGATTGGAATGGATGGAAACTACACATGATATCAGTAGTAAAAATGTTTCTTTGATACTAAGGATTGTGGGTAAAATATAAGAACAATTACAACAAATATATGAGTTTTAATAGTAGGGACAGCACAGTTGGCCCTGAACATAACAGTTTAACCATCTAGGACAATTCATTACTATTTTGCATGATACTGACAATGACAATTTTACAAATATGTCACCCATAGATGATTTTATGAAAGGAAGAATTATTAAAAGGCTAAAAGTAGGTCAGTCACAAATGTGCCACATTTCTGAATGTGCCACAGAACATATCTAGACTTTGGGCCAGATTTCAAAGAACAATCTGTTAGATGACAACCAAGAAGTGGATGACACCCAAGAATTACATTCCTTAACAGGACCGCTGTTTGATGTTAACAGTGCATTGTAACTGAAGAATGTGTGGTAGACAGCTCTCTGCAGTTTATCTAAAATAAAATGGTTATGGTATCAGTACATTTTCTAAGCTTTTACAGCTACAAGTGCAAACTTGACTGGCACCCCAATTTTTAAAATTCTGTTTGCTCCCTCACACCAAAACATGGTACTGAATTCTTTCATAGGATTAAATTCTCACTGTCATCACTGCCCTGGAATATTTTTCCTTTCAAATAAATTTGCACTTAATCATTTTCAAATTTAAAAGTAAATTTATTTAAAATTTCACATTTTGAAGAATTTAAAGCAACTTTGATATTTATTGCATTTTTATCAAAAGATAAATTAAATTCATGATTGGTGATTAATGGTTACATTTAATCATCATTTTAGTGCCTTTTTTATTCAAGCAAATGCTTATGAAAATTTGGCCACCAGAATCAATACCCTGACAATTGACCAGATAAATTACTGTTAAACAAAGCTCTGTATGGTGTTGCTGTCTCTGATTTTACTAAGGGATAAAATCAAATAAACGGACAACACCATAAATAAAAAGTTTACTAATTGAATTTTTCATATTCATCAAGCAAAGTGTTTTGAGCAGTGACAAACTGCCTAGAAAATATTGCTTGACTTGCTTATTATTTTATGTACTTAAGGACTGAGGAAAACACTATGCACACAACTGCCTCAACTTATTACAACAAATTATGTATTGGTACTCTGCTAGACTATTGTTTGATTCTTTACTTGCTGCTCCACTATGTACTGTACATAACCTTAGAATTCGAGATATGGTATATTTATAGTTACACACACACTCTCTCTCTCATGTGTGTACACATATGTATATGCTTTTTAATTTTACTAAATATAAGATGTATGTAATATTATATTTTTTCTTTTTTTAAGTAATTTAACTATTTTAATATTAATTTGAAATCTGTAGGGACTGAAAACTGGCATGAGTAAACTCCATACACCACAGTCATCATTGTTTAACACAAAATCTCCAGCAAGATCAAAAATATATGATAAACAAATAAAAGATGAAAGTATTTATCTGTAATTTAAAATTGAGAATTCTATGATACATAACTGTATACAGTGTGTAGACACAAACCTAGGTTCTCTCTCATATGCTACATTTAAATTACTGTATTATGTAGCAGATGTGAGATGTAGTCAAATACATTATTTGTGTTACACCCTGCACATTTGTAAATATTTTTATTCAGATTTTATAAAATGTAAATGCAAATATAACTAATAATGACTTTTATAATATATGTTTTTTATATTTGTGAATAAGATTTTCTGTGTTTTTAAAACTGAATTTGTTCATTTTTATATTTGTATTTGTTCAACAAAATTTTTAATAATCAAAAACAAAATTCAAAAATTTGTCAATATTAATGTTTTTCATTAATCTTCATTCTGGATATCTTGGCATTTAAACATTAATAAAACACCATGTAAATACTTAAAACTTAATTATATTAGAAATGTTTTCATTTTAATTTAAAAATATCTTCAGCTACATTCACCTTATTGTTTCTTAGTATTGGTAGTAATGATATTTCAAATTATAAATTTGTTATTTTATAAAATTAAATTTGAAAAGTCAATCATGTGGACATTTTAATCATTAAGATTATACCTAAGTTGAATAATGTAAATATATGAAAAAAAACTTATCAAGAAAACATTTATAATTTTAATTTTTTAAAGTAAATTTTAGGATTCACATTATTTGATTCCAGAACTTTTAATCAAAGAAATAATCATGAGAAATTTTCAGTTTTTTTGACATTCTCAATTTAATTTTTATTTACATACAAAAGAATTTCATACTACTTTTTGTTATTTCTACACCAGGTAATCATATTTTTTAATATCCATTTGAATGTGTTTAATATTTATACAATTTCACTTACACTAAAAATTAACTACTGTTTAATTTTATAGATTTTTCTGAAGGGAATTAAATATAGTAATTTCAATTGTAAAATTTTATTCTCTTAAAGTTATCTGTATTGTTGCTCTTGTAAGAACGCCGATTGGGGGGAATTCTATTCCCTACCGTCGGGATGGTCTAAGGTCTACGCGTATGTGGGTGGCGGTTTTGAAAGGCAGCAAAAGACAAGTGTTTCACAAAGAAACTGTTTATTTTTGACAAATATGTTTACATAGAATTATCAAGATCCTGGGGTTCAGAGTTCTGTGAGTTGTCTTCGGAAGTGTCTTTCCTTTCGTTCCAGTCCAACGCTGACAGGGCCTCGGGGCGGTGATACTTCAATGTTTGTAATTGGGAGATTCAGCACAAAAAAGATGAATGGACGTACAATAAGCGGAGAGTGAACGAACACCACTGGTAGACTAGAGAAGGCCACCTTTTGTCCTTGAAATTGGTGTTTTTATTTTTTTTTATTTTTGATGTTGGCTTTTTGTTAATTGGACAGACCTTACATCATCGTCTTCTAATTGGTCTTCCACCTGTCTCCAGGTATAAATAGAGCTTCACATAGTTTGCGGGAAAGGTCGATGGAGATGGTTTATCTGACACCATCTTTTTGACTCTGATCGTGTTTAATTGTTGACTATGACACCTATGCTCATTTTGATATTTTTTCTAGTTCTGCATCTTAACTTTTAATATTTTAAATTTTCTTCTTTTATTTTCTAAAATTTTGTTTTTCCTGTTATTCTTTATGAGCATTGACGTCAAAGTCCGGTGTTGCCGATTCGACACTTATATAATTTGTTTTCTTGACGATTGAACTTAACAAATTTTTTCATATCTTTCCTTTTGGGGGAGGCTATGTCCGTGGCCTCACACTCTAATCCAAAGCTTACTATTAGATTATAGTTTACATCTATTAATCTTTATACTTTGACTAATCCTGTATAGGTTCAGGATGAAATGCAAAATATGTAAACTTTCTGTAAATGTTTTGAATCTCTAGGAGTGTTTCTGTAAGCAATGATTTATAATATTCCAACTTATGAAAATTTTCATTTAATAATTAGAATCAAAACAAAATTGATTATAAAAATTATATACTGTATTTTTAATAATTGTCATATATTGTAAAGCTAATACATTTATTTTGTAATTGTACATGTATTTAAACATTTCATGCTTATTTAAAGATTAACGCACTTGTTATTCATTTATGACGAATGTAAAAAACAAAATTTGAATACATATGTAATAAGTTGTTGCTGGAATATACAAAGTTACTCTCAGAAAAACCAATACTTAAGAAATTTTTGTATGTAAATCTCATAACTACATTTAAATGGTTTTAGGCCTGAGCAGAATTAAAGTCATGTTTACATTATGAAATTGGACAGTAAAATCAGCAAGAGGATCCCTTCGTAATGATTAAACAAAACTCGTTAGAAAAAGGTTTCATTTTATCATGAAAATAGTCAGTTAAAAATAATTATGGAATTATGAAAATACTTCCAATTGTCTCATTAGTCCAATAATTATAAAAATAGAATTTATATTGTTGCACTACATTGTAAGAAGCAGTCCCAAAAATGCATCTTTGTTTGTTTTTTGTAAAAACACCTTGGAAATTGACTATATATTGGATTATAAGTAGCACATGTTCTGTTATGTAGCCATTTAAAGTATATATCTTACATACAGTTTAATAAAGTATTTGTAAAATTTATTCATTAAGCATTACAAATATGTTTAAGTTGACTTAAAATTGATCTTAGACTATGCTTCAGCTTCACATTTGTGTTTCTTAACTATCATCTGAAAAAACATCAATTTAAAATTTTTGATTTATTTTTAAAATAATGTTGAAAGTAGATTTTTTTATTTAAAATATTTTTAAAGTTAAAAAAACTAATTAAAAACTTGAACTTACTCCTTCCGATTTGCATGTAAAACCTTCTACACATGGACATCCAAATCTGTAAGCATCTTTATTTTTTACTTTGGCTGCAATACCAATGCATTTATCACCTGGAACAAATAAAGTATAAATAGGATTCCTACATTTTACTCAATGCAATTTTGTTGTTATTCATACTTACCGTCTTTTGGTCTATCCATGCAAAGACCTTTTCCAAAGGTTATCATCACACAACATTGTGTCTCCTCACAATCTTCTGATTTCTCACAACCTTTAGCATCAATTACCTATAAAAATACTTTAAATGAATATTTGCAGAGATATTTTAAAATCTTACATTATTCATTTTTTTAATTGTTATATTCAAAGTTTTCAGGCTGAATTCTAAAAGATTAGATAACATTTTCTTGATCTAAACACTGATAAATGTTAAAAGAATTTAAAATAACACGCCATTAATGTTACAAATAATTTATATTCGTTATCGAGTGTCAGAGAATTCATTTATTGATTTTTAAGTATCCTTATGAAATCAACACAGTGGTTTCACTTGACGGACATGGAAAATAAAATAGTCTCCAGTGTATTGAGATAATATAAAGTATAATTAAATTTAAAGAAGATTCGAAGTATATTCTTTAATATTTTTTTTTGAAATTTCAAGTGTTGCAACTTATTTTTCGTGGGAAAAAAATATTTATTGCTTCTTCACGCTTGTCAGGAGCCAGATTCGTTTTGATTAACGATCGTCTTAATGTTTTTGGCATTTTTATGAGTTGGCCTAGTGTTGAAAATTCGATCAGTAACACAAAAAATTGGTAATAGATTTCGATGAATTCCTCTTCGGCGACAGATATACTGAATCGATGTGATGTAACCGAGCCTTTTCCTTCGACGGATAGTAAATCTCGAACAACACTCTCGTACGAATCTTCTGACATAAGCTTAAACCTCTTCCAAACCATAAAATGGGCTGCATAGTTACGTAACGATGACATATAAACTTTAAATGGTGATATAAGAGGAATTTTGAGTAGATAAAGCTAAAGTAAAGATGTAGTTTGTTGGAGAATAAATATTTTAACGGTTTTATAAGATGAATAAGTAAGAGATAAAACAGAACTGTTTATATAAAAAGAACTCCATTGATTTATTAATTTTTCTACAAGAAAATACAATGCTCGAAACAATGCACTCGAACTTTCTAGGATAAACAATTTGATGAATTTATAAAGCTTATGCATCTTGGTCTCGATCAAATATGATTTTTTTTTTCTTTATTAACAAGCTCGATTCTTTAACTGTTTTAAAACAAATACGAATATTTTAGGGTTTTAAAAAGGCTATTTTCATGGATAGCCAGGGCACAAAAGTAAACTATTCCTGCTCGTAATTGTTTGCTGATTTTCGTTTTCTGAAAAATAAAATAAAATCAAAATAATTCCATTATTTTAATTTTGATTTACTAATTTATNATAAAAATTTATCTTGGGATCTGTTTGTTTCTGTGAGAAAGTACTTAGCATTTTTTGATAATATATATTTACTTTTACTTGGCATATATTAATTAATTATCTTTAATGATTATTCTATCTCAATATAATTAGATTATAATAAAATCATATCTGTAGAATATCTAAATGTGTTATTGTTCACACACACAAATTTTAATTAACAAGCTTCATATGGCAGATAACACTGTTAGAAAAATACTTGCTTAAGATGGTTTTAAATCAAGGGCAGTATATTACTCTGAACACAGTTATGTTTGATCATCTAGCATACTTTAGGGAAAATTTCAAATCCAACTTACTAACGTTCCAGTCAGTAACAGATCTAGAAGGACCAAATGGAGGAGCTAACTGAAAAATATTTGAACAAATATCTTTTATTAATGTTTATCCATGGCCGAATAGATAAAACCATTTATCACTGGTAGTAACTATTAGTGGTCAGTTCCAGAAACGAATCCAGTTGGGTCGAAAAAAACTAGGAAATTTTTCGGGGGACCGTCACTCACCACCCTGTCCTCTATTGTGGGCTTAGCCTAACTCACCATTGGCTTGAAAAAAGGCTCAATAGTCTAATTTATTTGTTGGAAGAGCCTTTTCCGAGATAAAAATATACTTGGGTTTACTGTTGCTCCTTAATTTGTATATAACATGCATTTCAAACAAATAAAATTTTAATAGGTGGTGAAAACACCTGGTATGAATTTAATAGGAGATACAGTACAGTCTAAACCAGGGGCGGGCAACCTTTTTCTATGTAAGGGCCACATTTAAAATTTTAAACTGACACGCAGGAGAAAAAAAGAAAAACACGTGGGTAAATCACAATTATTTATTCATATATGATTGTAAATTAAACCTTAATAAATAAAATTATGTGTTTTTCTAATTTTATTGCATTATATTAATTTTATAGCTTTTACCTAACTTCGGATCATATTAAGATAGCAGATAGTATCTTTTATGGAGTAATAAAGAGAGATTTTATGATCCTAGCATGTAATTATGCTAAAATAATTGTTACTGATGTAGATTGAACTGAAATTGGAATACATAAATGTTTTTTTAGGTGTTTTTCATATGAAAGCATATTATTCAATGTTGAACGAGTATATGAATATCCACTTGACACTGGTGGTCGGGCAAAGTGAATATACTCTCATTTTTCAACTATTCTGTTAATCGTCATTAATTTCAATTTAGTAACACAATTATCATGCATAGACGAAATCCTACCCTCTAGACTCCACAATGAAAACTTGAAAGCTTAGTAATTAAATTATAAAAATTGTAAGGGGAAGTATGTTTGTTTATTGTTATTATTAATGTATTTTAATCATTTTTATTCAATAAATTCATATTCTTTTAAATAACGAATTATTTTAAATCCAACTAATGATTGTTTTTTTTTAATTAAAATGTTTTTATTTTACTTATAATTAGTTATTTCTCTTTAACGGAATAATAAATATATTATCACCAATCTAGAATGATATCGACGTATCGCATTGCATCTGTTATATCCGCGCCTAGCATTTGATATATCCGTTTTCACACGAATCCGGTTAAATCGTGCCGTTCTAAATTATCAATTTATTACATAGATTACAACGTACTGTTTGTCCACTATATGTTATCTATATTAAAATTTAATATAGATAACAATTATCCGGAAATATTAATATTCCCGGAGTAAGTTAAATGATGGTATCTATGAAGAAAGAAACCATTTTTGTTCCGAAAACTGACATACCGACAATAGCGGATCCAGAAATCTTTAGAGGGATTGCCGAAAGGATTACAAAATTTTTTAATACCTGAAGTAATCGGCTTTACCTCAGAAAAAGCTAGAAGGGAGTGAAGATTCTCTATGCGTACCCTCTGAATCTGCTCATTTATCGACATGTAGAATGGGTCTTGGATATAAGAATTATTCCCTATATTATCCAGAGATGTTCAGACTATGTTGTAGATAGTCATTCGATGTCTATAGTGATTCCACTTCATTACTTCAACTATTTTATGAATTTAACGGTAACAATTGGTAGTATTTTCTTTCATGTTCACAGAGGTTCTGCGATGACATTTTTTTGGCCTTATAGTATGTCTCTAATGAATATATTTTGCGATAGAACCGATCTCACTGATGAAACCTATTTTCCAGAAAAGCTAGCTTGGTTTAATTTAAATACATGGAAAAGGCATTAATTCTACGTGGCACAGAAATTAACGTGGAAGATCAAGAAAGCGTTTAACATTGGTATGGTTGTATATTGTATGGAGAAGATCAAGTGGAAAATAACTATCATGAATTACAGGATAAAGTGGCCAGCCTATTAAACCAGTATTTAGAAAAGTAATTTAAGTTACATTTTAATACTATATAAATATGTAGAATCCTGACATTGTGAACAAATCTGTCACTTAGTGCATAAGCAGAATCAATGTATAAGCTTTTTGTTTTAAAGTACTTCCTCCTTCTCTGTTTAGAGCTTCGTCTATTTAGTTAAGTTATGGCAATGCAACACTTGAGCGATCTGCCTGGGGGATGCCTTCCGGGAGGTCTTTTTAAGGGAAACTGGCCCCCTATTTAGTCGTGAAGACAACCCGGAAAACTCCACGTGGCCAGCCCATACGAGCGAGACGCGAACCCGCGACAGAATAAGAAGACCGCTTGGCCACTGGTGGGCCTTCGTCAGTAATAAGATATTAGAGCGTAAATTTCAAAAATGTTCTGGAAATTTTGATTGTTTTATGAAATTCCGATCAATTAGTTATAACTGAGAAAGCATTAAATAAAGTAGGTAAAAGAACCGTACTTTGAATATAAAACACTTATAAGGTTGTTCTGAATTATACATTGTCATTCATCATCCAAGTACCGTATTAAGAATTTTAAAAAATCTATGTATATTACAGTAATAATAAATATTAATATTGTCAGAATTTTAATATTTTAGTAAATAAACTAAGGTACTTCAACTGTACCAGTAACTGGTACAGTTACAGTACCTTAGTTTAGATCTGTTTTATGTTTGATATGTTGAGAAAAATCTAAATATATCAATATAAACTTTTCTTTATAAAAAAAGCTATATTAATTTAATTCTCTAACAGTAGATGGTTCAGCCAAACAGTTTACGTTTAAATAATTCATCTTAAAATTTTTAATTTCTAAATGCAGTAACTGGCAATGTCAATTGCTGGTACAGTTACCTCATTTGAATGGTTCTTTCTTGAATAACCTCACTTGAATAGTCTTCATTAGTAAATAGCCTCATTTGAATGGTTCTTTAATTAATAAAAAAAATAACTCGTAAAATTGACTGATTAAAATTTTTGTTTTTGTATTGCGCAAGTATCGATAATGCAACACGGTAATTGCATGGTAACTCACAAGAACCACCAATGCAACACGGGTATCTACCAAGGGAGATGTCTCTCGGGAGGGCTTTCAGTGGGGAAACTGGTAACTAGTTATGTGTTAGACACGTGAAGAAAATCCTGAAAAACTCCACGTGGCCGGTTCGTTGGTCAAGTACGAACCCACAATCGACTGCTTATATTCGGTTGTTTTATTCACTTGGTCACTGGACACCAGAAAATTTGATTAAACGGAGCGTAAGCAGAGTTCTGCGTAAGTCAGAAAGTGTTTTGTCTGTGATCGAAGTTTAAAGCAACCGAACGACCGATTTTTCGTAGATATGTACAGTACAACTTGGCAAGAGCGATGTCGTGGCCACGCCGAAATTTTGAAATTCGATCTAAGGGGCGAGATATTCCAGGTTAAACTTTGCCAAATC